GATGTATGTTCGGGGCTGCATTGCAATATTGATTGTTCGGATCATTGGTATCTAAGTCTTCCGCTACGCTATCTTGTACTTTGTATTGAGAGGTCGGTTCTTGTTCTGGTCTGCACAGTTACAGTATGCAACAGTTAGGTATCGGAGCGGAACTCTCATTCAGAGGACCCGCTCAATCAAGTAGCCAGCTTGCTTGATCTACTCATTCGTAAATCAAGTAGGACTTTGTCAAATCTCTGAAATTTTTTTATTTTTTCTCGCAACAACTATCTGAAAATTTCTGATAATCGCATTTCGTTTTACCTGAAATTTCTGATATTAGTATTTCGTTTTTACGCAACAAATATCTGAAAATTTCTGATAATCGCATTTCATTTTATCTGAAAATTCCTGATAGTAGCATTTCGTTTCTCTGATATTTCGCATACATAGCTGAAAATTTCTGAGGTTAACATGTCGTTTTCTAGGCATATTAGGATAACGATAGAAGTGGTCATATTCTCGGAAACCGGATTTATTCTTTTCTGAAAATCCAATTTCCATTCTATCTCGCAAATTTCTTTTGAAAACCGAAATCTTGCGAAGCCTACCAACATTTCGTTAGGCTTATTCGGAGGTTGCCATACTCTCAGAAACTGGATTTAGTTCTTTTCTGAAAATCGCATCTCTACTCTATTTCGCAAAAAAAAAATTCAAGATCGCATTTTGTGAAAGCTGAAACTTTGCGGAACCTAGCCTAGATCTCGCTCATAGTACTCTTCTGACATGTCTCACTCATAACAGATCAACAGATATACAAAAAAAAAAGAAAAAAAAAAAAAGGAAGTAGTCCTCTTTTATTTTTTTATTTCTTATCTGTTGATTAGGGCCGGGAGGAAAGTATTGTTGGGTTGGTTCCGTACCTGCGTTTTCCCTCCCACCCACCCCTTTGCATGCATTTCCGGGTTGGTACAGTGCCACGTCAGCAACAGTGCCGCATCAGCAGTGCCACGTCAGCAACAGTGCCATGTCAGCAGTGCACATCAGCAGTGCCACGTCAGCAACAGTACCACGTCAGCAGTGCCACATCAGCAAATAGTGCCACAGTGCCATGTCAGCAGTGCCCCGCCACCATGACGGGCTCAGTTCTGGGCATGCCAGGCCAACTGGCAAATGAGTCCATTGCCGAGTACCGACAGCGTTTCGAAACTCAGCTCGCACTAATCGCGGCTGAGGAACAGCGCCAGCTGGCAGCCGAGGCTATCCGCCTACAGGCTGAAGCGGCGGCAACAGCTGAGAAGCAGCGGCTTCTGGCCGAAGCAGTCGCAGATACCCAGGCACGCCACAAGGAAGCCCAGGATCTGCTACAGCGGCATGAAGCCACCAGCATCGAAAAGCTCAAGTTCTGGCACTTTGAACCATCCGAAGGGCACGACGACGCGACACCGGAAGAGCAGCACAAGGAATTCATGGCCAAACTCGTGACCAGGTTGGTTTACACTTGTAACCACCTGCAGTCCGAGCTGGCGAACCTCCAGCGGGCCGTACGGAACCACAAGGCTCAGCACGAGGATGCAGCACGGACACTTGATTCCCATGTACAGGACTTGGAGCAAACTGCACCAAGACCAGAGGCTGGCGAATCCAGCACTGCACCCTCTGCCCGCCAACTGGAGGAACGAGTTGATCACGTAGTCGCAATGCTCGGCGACATCAGTACCTTCGCTGCACCAGCCACCATCAGCAATCAGCTGGACACCTTGAAGACCGAGGTTCAGCAACTGCACCAGCTGCCTAACAAGGATGGCAACACCGTGCAGCGCTACAAGATGCCGACATTCCAAATCGAGAAGTTCGATGATTATACGCATCAAGACCCGGTCCTCTGGTGGGAGGGCTTTACAACGCAACTTCGGATTCTGTTCGTCGCCAAGCACGCATATATCAGCGCGTTGTTCCTCAACTCAAAGGGCGGATGCCAGATCTGGTTGAGCCACCTGGCAACCGTCCACGGCGTCGACGTCGCATATCTAAAAGATAAGATCTCTTGGGAAGAGTTAACACGGCTATGGACGAAGCGATTCATCGTGGACGACGCCCCGGCGCTCGCCATCAACCACCTCTTCGCTATGACACAAGGCAACACATCGACACGGGACTGGCTCACGGAATGGCAAAAGATCGCGGCAACGCCCGATCTTGACTTGCCATTTTCGCATCTGCGCCGCGAGTTCTACAACCGGTCATGTGCCGCCTTGAGCCTTGCACTTGGTGATTGCGAGCAATACGCGACCTTCGCCGAAATCATCGACACAGCAAGGGAGATCATCAAGACCAATAGGGCAGCTGCACATGAGAAATCAGCATGGCAGCCAACCTATGTGGAGAAGGTGAAAACTGGTCTGCGGCCGCAGCATGTCGCTGCAGTCCAATTGGACAACATTGTGGAAGACCCGGCAGCCACCCAAGCGTCATGTGAGGGAGATCAGGTGGCAGCTGTCCAGCCGCGAAGCAACAACAAGTCCCAAGGGAACGGGAAGGCGAAAACCGCATCGCCCGCCGGAAACGGACAGCCAGCACCATGGGTTAAGTTTCACTTGACAGAGGCGGAATACAAGTGGCGTGGCCGCTACGGCTGCTGCTATTGGTGCAACAGCACCAAACACAAGACCTCTCAATGCCCGGATCAAGGCAAGGAGGATGTTCGGCCTCGTATCAACTCGGGAAACTGAGTTCCGCGGGAGGTGAGGCGACTCCACCTCTCACTCCGCCAGATTCGGCCGCCTTGCTAGTGGCCTCCTACATATCTGGGGAGGATGCGAATGTCGCAAGCCCTCGGTACACTTACGAGGACTATGCTGTCCACTTGGTCCCACCGTTGGACCAACCGCTCCACGTGCAACAATCTACCACATGCACGGTTTCATCACCATCGACAACCAATTCGGCAGCTTCGCCGCCATCTATCGCCGGGGATTCAACGTCATGGTCAAGACTTGAAGAGCTCGACCCGTTGACATTTGCGGACTTCCAATGGACGCCCCTTCCCCGGTCCGGTCGATTGCCAAAACCGCATTGCAACGTGCTCATGGCACAATTGCGGGATTACTTGCACACTGCAGTACCAACTCCGTTGATGGACACCGGAGTAGAGGTTGTCGACCTTCACGCCTACATTGCGAAGATCGACCGCGAGTCCAAGACACAATGGTACGACGACATCGACGCACCATTGTTATATGTACGCATTCAGATCGGAGAGGCGACCTGCAACGCTTTGATCGATTGCGGAGCATCTCGCAACTACATGAGCCAAGACTTTATGGTACGCGTCGGCCTAGGCCCACGCGTCCGGAGGAAGTCCCAGCCTACGCAGGTCACGTTGGCAGACGGTCACACGCACAAGTCAATAGACAGGTGCATAGATGGCGTCCCCGTATACTTTGCCCCACATGCAAGCGAGGCGGTGTCCTTCGATATTTTGGACACCAAATTCGACATGATCTTGGGCATATCATGGCTGCGAAGCGAGGATCACCCGGTGAACTTCTACCTCCGCACCATTCATGTTCGTGATCGGAACGGAGTACTAGTCCCATGCACTGTGGCTCCTCCTCACCCTTTGATCAGCTGCCCCGTGGTGTCCGCCGCAAGCATGCGAGCTTCCATCATCAGAGACGACATCGAGGAGACGGGGTCTGTTCTCTCCACGCCCTCCCGCCCCATGACGCTTCATCGACGGACTCATCTTCGGACCCACGCATCACTGAGCTTCTCAACGCCTACGACGACGTGTTCGAAGGCCCGCACGGAGTAGTACCGGATTGGCCCGAATCGGCCCATCCGCCACAAGATCATCCTCGAGGACGGGGCTGTACCTCCGCGCGGTTGCATGTACCGAATGAGCGAGGAAGAGTTAAGTGTGCTACGGGCACAACTCGACGACCTTCTGGAGAAATGCTGGATTCGGCCTAGCTCATCGCCATACGGTGCTTCCGTTCTCTTTGTCCGGAAGAAGAACAAGGATTTGCGGTTGTGCATCGATTATCGCAAGCTCAACGCGCAAACGATCAGAAACGTCGGCCCTCTTCCACGCATTGACGACCTTCTCGAACGGCTGGGCGGCGCCAAGTTCTTCTCCAAGCTTGACCTCAAGTCGGGATATCACCAACTCGAGATTCGGCAGGAGGACCGCTACAAGACCGCGTTTAAGATGCGATATGGGCATTTCGAATGGCTGGTTATGCCATTTGGCCTTACGAATGCCCCGACCACTTTCCAAGCGGCTATGACAACGGAGTTCCGACACATGCTGCATCGATTCGTACTTATCTACCTCGGCGACATCCTGCTGTACAGCCGGAGTTTGGACGAGCATGTGGAACACCTGCGCACCGTTTTGGAGCGGCTACGGCAAGCCAAGTACAAAGCCAACCGCGACAAATATGAATTCGCGCGAGGAGCTGGAGTACTTGGGACATTATGTGACGCCGCAAGGCATCCGTCCGCTTGCGGACAAGATCGAGGCCCTCCGCGTATGGCCCGAGCCCACCAACACCACGGACGTTCGTTCATTCATGGGGTTGGCGGGCTACTATCAGCGATTCATCACCGGGTACTCAAGGATTGTTGCACCTATGACGAGATTACAATCGCCAAAGGTGCCATTCGTATTCGATGACGACGCATGCCGGTCATTCCAGGCACTTAAGACGGCCATGCTCATGGCACCCGTCCTTAGCATCTATGACCCCACCCTGCCTGGGAGAGTGACAACTGACGCTTCCGGCTATGGCATTGGGGCAGTCTTGGAACAACACGACGGCGACGACTGGCACCCTGTGGAGTATTTCAGCCACAAAGTGCCTCCCATCAATTCGCTTGACGATGCAAGGAAGAAGGAGCTGCTCGTGTTCGTGATGGCTCTCAAGCGATGGCGGCACTTCCTCCTTAGGCGTCGTAGGTTCACATGGGTCACGGACAACAACCCATTGACCTACTACAAGACACAGGATACGGTGAGCAGCACGATCGGACGATGGATGTACTTCATCAACCAATTTGACTTCACACCGAAACATCTCCCCGACCTCTCAAATCGCGCAGCAGATGCACTCTCGCGAAGACCTGATCTTTGCGCTATGACACATCATGCCTTCGCATTCGACGAGGAACTCCAGCAACACTTCATCCGGGGCTATGAGTCTAATCCGGATTTCGCCACGTTGTATGCGCAGCTATCTTCGGATCACCCGTTGGCCAGCCACTATCGCATTGTCGGCGGGTACGTGCTCCTCCACTCGAGAGGCAAGGACTTATTGTGTGTTCCACGAGACCGTCGTCTTCGGACTCGCCTTGTCGGGGAGTACCATGACTCACGACTCGCCGGCAATTTCGGAGTACCCCGCACTATTGCACGGCTTCGACAACGATTCCGATGGCCCGACCTCATTACCGATGTCACTCGGTATTGCGACTCTTGCGAAGTTTGTCGACGAAGCAAGCCCCGCAATCACAATTCCTACGGCGAGTTGCGCCCGATGCCTATCCCACAGGAACCCGGCCTCTCCATTGCCATGGATGTCACCGGACCATTTCCCCGCGATCGCCCCGGGCACGACGGCATCCTCATGATTGTGGACCGTTTGAGTAAGTATGCGCGTTTTATCCCTTGCAAGTACTACTCCACGGCTCCCGAGCTGGCACGCCTCTTGCACACCGGTTGGATTTGCGGCCATGGTGTACCGGAAGACATAGTCAGCGACTGCGACACTCGCTTCATGTTAACATTTTGGACTGCTGAAACCAAGTTCGGCTCGGCATCCACAGACGGACGGGCAAACGGAGCGGGCACATCAAACCGCTCAAATGATGCTTCGTACGCTCATCCGTCCGGACCACAAAGATTGGGTTGACCGCCTTCCCGACATCGAGTTCGCCTACAACACTTCGGTGCACCCGACGATCGGCGTGACTCCATTCGAGTTGCACCACGGTGGACGAAAAGGCCGTATCTTCGCCGACCTTCTCCTCCCACGACCAGCCGACATCGACGCCGCTTGCTCTCCCCTTTCCGTCCGGAAGTACAGGGAATTGCTGGCTCAAGCCCGCACGAATATGCAAAAGGCTCAAGCCTGCATGCAGCAACAAGCCAACAGGCGTCGCGTGCCATGTCCCATCCTCGCCGGTGATCTGATTTGGGTCTCCGCGGAAGAGTTTGCATTGGAATAGGATGTTTCACGCAAACTGCTTCCCAAATGGTTTGGACCATGGCCCGTAACATCAGCTGCGGGCGATGAGCCCGATGGTCCTTCATTTGTGATCAACATCCCCCCGCATCATATGGTCCATCCAGTCTTTCATGCCTCGAAGCTGGCAACATATACACCAGCTAAGAGCGACGACTTCCCTGGCCAACGATCGCAGGACCCTCTATCTATGGATGGTCATCAGGAAGTTGACCGCGTCATCACGGATCGCAAGTACGGCAGTAAGCCTCGACAGTACAAAGATACATTCAAAGCATGCGATCCCGACGACACTCGGTGGATTTCAGGAACAGATTTGAAAGCATCCACACCGCTGATCTACGCTCACTACGAGCGACAAAGGTTAGCTCAGGGACCTTCACGACCTGCCCCTCCCACCCGGACTGTGGTCCCTCCCTCAGACAGACAGCTTCGCCCTCGTAGGTAAGCTCGGTCTTTCAAGGAGGGGGGGGTGTGGCATACTGCGTAGCCACACGGGCCTGCAGGGCCCGTCCCGCATTCTCAGCCTAAAAGCCTAGAAATAAGGGCTTACAGACCCCTGTCGTTTCAGCCTGGAAACTGAAAACAAGGGCCTGCGGCCCTATTTCATTTTCAGCCTAAAACAGGGCTTTTCAGCCCTACGGCTTTTCAGCCTGAAACGGAGGGCCACTTTCGGGCCCTCATAAGATCGACCTACCCGAATACTCAGGCACAAAACCAGGGTTTCGGGAACAGGCTATTTCTGGCCTGTTCCCACGACAGCCTCAAGCAGGAGCTGCAGCGGCAGCCCCTGACTCCCTGCGGCATTGGCAAGAGCAGCCTCTTGGACCGCCTCGCCCTGCAGTCAGGAGGCAGGCCGAGAAGTACATAGGGAGTTCCCGTGCACTTCATGGGTAGGTAGTTGGACAGAAGGTAGGAGTAGTCTTCAGGATTCGGCCGCGCACTCAAGAGGAGCGCTGAAGGAGTAGCTTAGCGCTAGGCGCTAGTAGGTGGTAGTAGTAGAGTTGGGAGAGATGGCTGGCGGGGGCCAGTGAGACTTACCTGTGGCGCCATAGCTCCAGCTCCATCTTCGAGGTACCTGCATCAAGGCGCCAACTTCACAGGTTAGTACCAGACTAAGAGAGAGAGATCGAGAGAGTTCTTCTTCTTCCTCTTCTAAGTCCACCATCTCTTCTTCCCCTCTCACCACCTGACTTCTCAATATCAGCGGACTACGACAGAGAGAGAGAGAGTTGTGACTTGAGACTTGACGACATTGGATCCAGACACAACATTGGGATTCAGACATTTTGACGAGGGACTATTTGGGCCTGTGCCGAAGACTTGGTGTTGACGACATTCCCAACTTCCCCTCTTCTTCGTCTAACCCCCGCTCTTCTTCGCCTGTGTATGGTTGGGGCTGGCACATTCTTCCTGTGTGAGCGCCAGACCCCTTCACACCATGGAATGATGAGGATGATGTATGTTCGGGGCTGCATTGCAATATTGATTGTTCGGATC